CGCGCGCACAACAGGCGGTCCTGTGCCCGTTGACAGGTCCAACATACGCACGCCAACGCAGATCATGAACGCCAGACGGCAACGGGCTGAAGTTGAGGAACAAAGGAAGGCCGCTGAAGAGGAGCGCAGGAGAGCTAGCGCAGAAAGAAGAGCTCAAGCTGTTTCTGGTGTAGCTGGAGCACCAACAACGGAGCCCGGGACCCAGAGGCAGCCCCAATCGGCAGCTCTGAGATCTGGCGACCAGTATGTACAATACCCGACATCATCGGGTGGAGTGCCTCGTCAGCCAGAGAGGCCGATCCCATCACAAAACACCATGAGCGAAGCGCAGGAGACCACTACTGGCGCATCGCAATCCAGACCCCGGGCAGCTTCGCAAGCACAGCAGCAGCAGTCTCGACCCGCTCAGGCAAATCTAGCTCTACCGACGACGGCGGAACAAGGCAGACGGCCAGCTGGCTCAGGGCATGCGAGGCGACCGTCTGGCGCCACGGCCGCTTCATCGCAAGCAGGCCCTTCCACCGCTGCAGCACGCCCACCACCTCCGCCAGGCTCGTCCTCCGGACAGGTTCGCGAGTCAACCACATCAAACTTCCCACATGCGTTTGAGCGCTGGGAAACATTATCCTCGCATTGGGAAGGTCTTACCTCTTACTGGATACGGCGGCTTGAGCAGAATACCGATGAAGTTCGCAGGGAGCCGCTGGCTCAGCAAATGTCGCGCCAGATCACCGACCTGTCTGCAGCTGGAGCCAACCTTTTCCATGCTGTTGTTGAGCTGCAGCGCCTACGCGCATCCTCCGAGCGCAAGTTCCAGAGATGGTTCTACGAGCATCGCCAGGATCAGGAACGAGCTCAAGAGCGCGAGGCTCAACTGACGGAACAAATCAACACGGAGCAGGAGGCTCGACTTGAGGCTGAGGCAAACATGGAACGCATGGCCACCGAGAAGAAGAACGCCGAACGAGCGGTGTCGGAGATGAAGCGTGAGCTTCAGATTTCGAAAGAGGAAGCACGCCGAGCATGGGAGGAGCTTGGAAGACGGGAGCAAGAGGAACGTGATCGCACGTTCTCACTCAGAGAAGGGCAGCCTACGTTGGTCGGCGGAGTACAGGTGGTGCCAATGGCGCAGAACATGGGTCGTCAAGGGAGAGGACATGGGGACGACACATACGCCGGTGCTCAGAGCAGTGGCTCGGGTATAGAACAGCACTACTCGTATGAGGAAGGTCAGTCACCAACTGACACCGATCCCTTCACGGAAGGCGCTCGCCATGCGCACCGAGAGCCCGAACCTCCCGCACACGTGGCTCAAGGAACCTACGTCCCATCAGGTGCAGCATCCGCCGCCTCCTCTCGACCTGGTGGCTCTTCGGTTGCGGACGAGTCACTAGCCCCTGCTCCATTACAGTATCCATACTACACGTCTCAGGCACAGCAAGCTCCTGCACAACCGGCCATGTCTCAGCCTGAGGCGTTCTACCAGCAGCCAGGTTCATATCTACATCAAGAGTCTGAGTCAGGCCTACCAGAGGACGAACAGTCGTATGTCACGTCTCAGGCGGAGGAGTCCGAAGGCGATATCGAGTACGCCCTGGACGAGAGAGGCAACTTCATTCGCGATGATTCAGGTCGCCGCATCCCGTTCCGATCGCTTCAGTCTCCAGTATCGGATGAGTACGATGTAGAAGATGCACGTCGACGCGAGCTTGAGCATCTGCAACACTACGGCACGACTGCCACGTCTTCAGGTGCCTACGCCACGAGTTCGAGCGCGGGATCGTCACGCCAGGGGCACCCTACCGCCGGCGGTGCACCCGACTACAGTGGCGATGGCTACGGCGATGAGTGGGTCGGCATGAGACATCACCATCCGACAAGACTGAGTGACGTTCCAGAGGAAGATGAGAGGAGCCGGACGTCGCCCAGCAGAGCAAGCCAGGCCAGCCGAGGGCGCCTCTATTAGAGGGACAAATACCACACGCCCTCTCGCCTCATCGACAGAAGTATCCCAAAGGCGCTTAAGCTTTGCAACCATACTGTTATCGAACCGTGGTGTTGCAGATCGTCTTCACACCACCTCGAATTCCGCACACGCATATATCGTTTCGGCATACATGTTACAGCGAGCATTACATACCAGGTCCCCTGCGTTTATACCCTTCTACAAGATCTCAATCGAGCGTCCCCGGCCCTCTATGGCTGATTCTTGCATCTACGACCGCTCCCTGTACTAGTAGAACTGTCTTTTTTTGTTTTGCGATTTAATCTCTTCCAAGCAAGCATGGTGTTTATCGGGCATTCGCATAGGGCTGGATTGAAGGATGATGGAAGGAGGACTCGGTGGTAGGGTAGGCAGTCTCCGTACGTCATGATGGAGTAATATCGGGGTTGAGTGTCTAATGGATTGAATGAACTGGAGAGATGGGTGAGCTAATGCACAAACGTCAAGTTATCTGTTTCTGAGATTCACATCTTTTCGTCTTTTGTCACGTCTCTTGTCTTGGTCCGTTTCCTTCTCCGAATGTAGTGACCATTTTCTTGTCAAAGTTCTCCCTAATGTAATTTCATTCGCATGTATCTTCGGCAGACAGTCTTCTCAAATGTGCCGTCATTCTTTCTGCTTATGAAGAGCTTGGTGAGTATACCATTGTGCGGACATCTGCACACCTCAGTACTGATGTACTCGCGGTGAATCCAACAAGTCACGTGCAAATTAGCACAAACTGAAGGTGAGTGCCTATGAAGCACGCATGTCTCCAAGGACTAGAGGCGACGAAAGTTACTTCTCTATGGAAGACCCCTAGTAGCTTCTTTTAGCTTGCGCGACCCCGTTGGTCCGCATTCGACGCGTTTCTTGCGCGCTCTATTGCGCGCCAAGCATTGCTCCTTCCTGTTCTGTTGCGTCGCTGAGTCTCACCTTTTCGTGTCCCAGCTTTGACTCATCGTCCCTCCACCTCGTACAGCACTCTCTCTAGGCGATCTCGTCACCTAGCTGCACGTCAGAGTGAGCGTTTTCGCCTCTCTTTTTCGTCCTTCGCGACACTGGTCACGCAGCCGGGAGTGAGAGCAGCAATGTCTGCGCCTTGCAACGACGTGTCTGAAATGGCCTTCCCACATGCAGAAGAGCCTGCGAGGGCAATTACGGGTTTCAGTGGTGCGGTCACAGCAAGCCCTAGTAAGTCACGTCACTCGAGATTTGGCACTCACGAGCTACAAGAGCACATCACTGACCTGATCCAGACTCCTTATCATGTCACGAAAGCAACGAACCGCCTAGACCCAGTCGCGACATTCTGGACTTCATTCCCGGGTTGTTACCCTACGTCACTCGGCTCGAATGGCTCGAGAACCGCGACTGCGAGCTTTCGAGCGCCACGACAGATGCCAACCAGAAGCGCATAGCCGCGGAAAAGCTGCTCGCAGATAGGACTATGGAGATCGACAAAGAAAGAGAAGAACTTAGAGATGCGCGAGAAATGCATGTCATACAGCTTCGGGTCAGAGACGAAGCAATGTCTGAAAGAGAAGCCAAACTGGCGCGACAAGAAGAAGAGGCCAAGGAAAGCGGATCGAGACCTAAGTGGATCCCGAATACCACTGGACCAGACGCAGATCTTTATGATGCTGTTTGGGCGTTGGGCGACAAGACGGATAAGGCTATGCGTGATATGAGAAACTTGGTGGCAGGGAAGAATCGTCCCGAGCAGGCTTTCTCAAAGTGGGAAAAGACATTCTGTGAGCAGAGTATCAAGCTTGTTCAGCTCAACGAACGGTTGAGGAGTAAGCAAGACAAACAGAAGCAGGAGGTCAAAGAGCAGGAAGCCATGCTTGAAGCACGCGAAGGCATAGTCACATACACAGAGTCCAGACTGAATATGGCAACGCGGTCCCTGGACAATGATCGACAAGCCTTCTCTAATGAACAACACCAATGGCGTGTTGAATGCGCTAGTGACCTCCAAGGCACCGATCTTGAAGTGGTCCAAACGCTCTGGTTGGAGGCAAAAGAGGAGCAGATCATACCTGCACTTAGGGCTGAAGCGATAAGCCTCGCAACCATCGAAGTCGAAAATCAACTGGAGCCAGTGCACCGAGCTGCATGTGCGGAAGCAAGGAGCAAGGGTCATACAGAAGGTATGGCAGAGGCGTTGCAGGTCCTAGAAGAGCGGGAGCGAGCGGCTCACGAAGCGGGCTCCGCCAGCGGTCGTGATGCTGGTAAAATCGAAGGCCATGAAACTGGTCGATATGAGGGATATGCTAAGGGCAGGTTTGAAGGGTTTAGAGATGGATATGAGGCTGGCGAATCCGAAGGCGTAAAGAGAGGTCGAAACGAAAGTCAAGCGCAAGCTGAGGCTAAGTGGAAAACCAAGGTCATATCTGCTGAGAAGAAATGCCATGCAGAAGGTCGCAGTGTTGGTATGGCTGAAGGAGAAGCGAAGGGTTATGCAGAAGGTCTGGCATCAGCTTCGGTGATCGCCCGAGTTGCTGGAAAGAAAGAAGGGGTTGTTGAAGGCAAAAGGCTGGCGCAGGTTGCGAAGGACGAGTCGTTTTTTCGTGGGTACCATCTTGGTGTGCTATTACCGCTATGGGCGCATCCCTCAGTGTACCAAGCCGACGGGCAGCCGACCGAAAGTCACCCATATTGGCGAGGCAGAGCCGTGGGCCAGTTCATCAAGTCACGAGACGAGTAAGTCTGAAGGAAATGTGTTACATGACTACATTACTGACAAGGCCGAATAGATTGACAAACTGGGGTAGTAAGTGGTATCAAGCCGATATGCCCAGAAAACATTATCTCACTGTGCGACATCCATCTAACGCCCCTATCAAGCCATGGACATATTGGGCAGGCATGCAAGATGCTCTGGAGAACATGGACCTCAATACTACTCCCATGAGAACGTGGCAACCACCTTCTGATGGCTGACTGCACATGAATATCAGGACGGAAGTTGGATTCGAAGGTGGAGATGTGCTAGGGGTAAAGATGAAGTATCTTATAATTTCGAAGCCCTAAGCTTCGTACTATCAACCCTCCTCCCCTCATCATCTTGCTCCTTGACTCTCAAATCCGGAAACTCCGCAGGCATGATCCTCCTCGGCGTACTCCCCTGCACCAAGTTGTACTTCTCAAAATCACTAACCCCTTTCATCCGCAAGAAATCCTCATCAAGCAGCAACTCCCCATTAACCTCTTCCACAGGCGCCTTGATCATCTGCAACACCGCATCAGAGAAGACATTCGCAGTCCTAAGATCCTTAGCATCTTCCTGGGCCATATTCTGCGTCGCAGCACTCTGCACCGCCGTCGCAGGCCAAATGCTTGTAACTGCCATCCCGCTCTTCCCCTCGCGCTGGAAATCTATGGCTAGCCCCTTCGTCAGAACAGACATACCCACCTTGCCCATCGCATACGCCGTCTTCCCGCGGAAGAAGCGCGAGTAGATCGGTGGACTAACAATGATAATCCTGCCCCTCCACGCCCCATCGCGCTGCTCAAAGTGCGGAAGACAGGCTTGTACGACGCCATACAGACCTTCGACGTTCACGCGCTGCATGAGCTGGAACCGCTTCATCGGGGTCTTGGCCACGCTTGCCCATCATATCGCGCCGCTGTTGTACACAAGTACGTCCAGACGGCCGTACTTGGCTATTGTCTCGGCTACCATGCGCTCTATACTGATATAGTCTCGTGTATCGACGCTTATGGCCGTGGCTTCGCCGCCTGACTCGTGGATCTCGCGGGTCACGGTGGAGATGGTGGACGCCGGCGAGTTTGGGTCGGGTGGGAAAGGAGAGCATTTCGAGGCGTCAGAGGTGGATTTTGCGGCTACGACGACTGCGTTGTTGTTAGTGCTTTGACTTGTGGACGAAGGAGGTGCTTGCTATGTGCACCTGCGTAGCCGTCTTTTGCTAGGTCGATGGCGATTTGCCGACCGATGCCTCGCGAAGCGCCGACGACGAGTGCGACTTGTTTGTTGGACGTTGGCATGGTGGAGAGAACGTATTGCGTAGGGTTGAAGGTTATGTCGCGCCGGGGGAATTGTTGCTTACTGCTAACAGCAAAAGGCGCCTACGAAACGCATGCAGACATGACATTGCAATGAGCATTCATTCTATAACCTCGGTCAATGCGTATGGCGCTGCATCTGCGGTACGCATAAGCTGCGCGGCGAGAATCCGGGGTATCCGCATCATTCGCGGTCTGAAAGGCGGAGGTGTGGTTGCGATTAGTGATAGAGTCCGGCCATGCTAACCTCGGTAGCCAAGACACCTGGGCAGTGCGCCGATCCAACGACGACGCGCATAAGACAAGGCCAGCATCTTTACAAGTACGGCCTTGATTTCTCATCTCGTACGTTTGGACGTATTGCGAATATGGCAGGCAAAATTACGTGCTATCTAGATTGCGGTGCGTACTTCCTGTCCTCTTGATCGACATCACATGCTAATTATGGACTAGTATCTCCATACTCATACTACGCTTTACTGCACCTGGAGAGGAACAAGCAGACTCTTGAAGCGCACAATGTAGAGATTGAGTTAGTACCCGTTGTTTCATTACCTAAAGCTCGAGACGAAGTCCCTTCTCTGAAACCCTACCAACGAGACTGCGCTCTCGCCAAGAGCAAGTATGATCACTGACTTCATACAGTATAGTGCCCGTCTTTCTAGGGGGTATCAATGTCGGCAGCGGTAACACTCCCTCATCCCCTCCCATGTGGAGTGCCTGGAAATCCGGTACTCGCTATGCCAAATCAGTCCTGACACTGCAGCGCAGGCAACAAGCCGCCGTGGACCCTGCCAGCAAAGGCGACCTACAGCCAGTATGATGGCGCGCGAGCGAAACACCACTTTGGCGTTCCTAATCTGCAGACACCATCTTTCTTTCCGATCCTCTCATTGCTACCACAGCGGGCGTTATGCTACGTGAAGGAAGCACATGGGGAGAGTTTCGTCGCTATCTTCCATGACATCTACCATGCAATGTGGGAAAACGGCAAGGATGTCAGTAAACCGGAGATACTTGCGGAAGTTCTAAAGCAGCGTCTAAAGGAAGACGAAGCCCGGGAAGTCATGGCGAAAGCAAACAGCCCACCATATAAGCAGCAGCTGAACGATAATACCAAGGACGCCCTCGATCGGGGTGCCTTTGGCTGCCCATGGTTCCTTGTGCGTAACTCGAAAGGGGAAGAAGAACCATTCTTTGGCAGTGATAGGTACGTGCTCTCTCATCAGTATCTCCGGCCCTGCCTTTTGCTTAGCATGCTCGTGTGTTCCGTTGTGGGTCGACGAGGTTGGGTCTTTACTAGTACATTCATGTTCAGTAAGGCGCCCGCTACGGGGGAGATGCCGCAACGGATACAGAATGAGCTGCGAACGGTTGAAACATGGCGAACGAACACTCGAGAGCTGTGGGGCGCGCTAACGGGTATTCCATATAGGTTCCATTACATGTGGGAGTACTTGGGATTGCCGTGGAAGGATGTTCAGCTGTTGCCGCCGGCTGATGCAAAGGCGAAGATCTGACCGAGAAGATTTCGGGAGGCTGATAGGCATCCCAGTGCGTGGGGGATTGTTTGGAAATGGCGCGGGGGTGAAAGGCGGATTACGCAGTACGTGCGTCTAGACAATCCTGCGCGTCAGTGCAAATGTCTTCCAACATGTCAGACTTTTCACCTCTTGCTCGATTTCTCAGACTTGTGTCTCTGCTCGAACGTCCCAATCGTCCCGCACAACCCTACATATCGTACCTTCAACTATCCTGTCCTCGCACGCAGCATGCACGCTGCACGGTCGCCGTTTCGTACCACTCACGGCGAAGCGTGGTAGTGTAGCCACCGGAGACGGGTACAAGCTTCCCCAGACATATGCAATCATATGCAAGATTAAGTCTCCGCGACCTGTCAAGGCAGCATCATGCGCCACCGGAAAGGATTTACCGCACACGCGATGCGCATGCCTGACCAGATCCACGCTGTTGCGGTCGGGCACCGGTACCAGGCGGTCGCTGGACTGCGGCCTTCCGGTGGCGTGGGGATTACAAGCGAGCTCGGAGGTGGATCGTTGTATGCGTGGGTTATTACTAGCCACATTAGTGAGTATATCGAAGCATGTGCAGTGTCTAGCCGGTATTGAGTCGGTATTGATAGGAAAGACTTACAGGCTTCCCCGCCTTCACCAGCGACAAGCCGATACCGGGGAATTCAGCAGATTTGGCCTTTTCCCTGTCGTGGGAACATATCGTTGCGATGTCCGGAGTACTCCAGGGCTGATTGCGAAGCGCATGTGTGACGTGAGCGTCATAATCGACGACACATGTAGTACACGCGAGGCTCCTGCCAACCCAGCGAACATCGTCGCATCAGATTGCATACGTACCTGCGTCTCTGCACGCCATGACATCTCAGCTGGTCTGCTACTGGTGCGCCAGACACAATGGCTTGTTGCCAAGCCATGCCATGCAGATAACCGTTCGCTTCTGCACGCCGGCCAAACAAGACGATGTAGAACTTTTTTCGCCAGCTCAGCTAGCACTAAACGAGCAATCTTTCTTCAGCTCGACGCTTGACAGCTCGTCGTTATAGGTCTGCCAACCGCCATGCGAGGGGAGTGTAGACCGACACAGCCGTCAGGCAAATGGTATTTGCCTTCTTTGAGCTAGCCACGTTGAACATCACGGAGTAGCGGGATGGCGGTGCTGTTGCTTGATGAGAGTTATGCTTGCTTCTGACAATCTTTTCGCACCCCAATGAATCTGCACGAAGGGAGTGCGGTCTAGCCTATACGGACAACCCGTTACCCTTCCGCGCGGATTCCGGAAGACTTTGCTGATTGAAAGAAATGGCGGGTCTACCCGAAAGCTCTAACTCCGCGTACCATAGTATAGCAAGACATGGGTGTGGCGTATTTCAAACGTGAGTCTCATCGCTTCAGTCAAGGTTCTGAGGCTGTCTTGGACTATAATTGTGCGGATCGTCCCTCACCTCTACATACCCAACATATGTGATTGGGCCTGTTTCATCATTTGGCTTCGGCTTCATCCTTACACTTTGTCTTGTTGGTGTACGATCCGGATCGTCAGTTCACCGTGTGCGTTTTCCATCCCCGCTGTCCACAAGACTCGTTCCACCAGCCAGAGGGCGCCGATAGAGACCTTAGTGTGTTTGCGTGTCCATACGATCATTGCCTCCATCTTTGGGCTCCTCCTGGTCCCTCTGATCTCGTGGCACATTCTGGTGAGGCTACCTCTCTTCACGTAACCGCTCTGGCCTAGCGTACTGATGATGTGTATCGATTAGGTACCTTGCGTGGGCTCACTGCTGCATCATATAGATAGCAGGGCCAGCCTCGTCTCCTCCACTTTTGTGGCCGACCATTCACAATACCAAGTCTGGAAATTGCAAGATTTAGCGTTGTTGTCTACCTACCTTGGCAGAGCTTTGTACTCGCTCGAACTCCGCAACCCCACCGCCTAATCTCGTGAAGCGGTCAGGTCCGTCGAGCGAATGATAGAGTGTCATTCCTGTGAATACTGAACGTGTCCGTGTGCCTCGACATCTCGACAGCACCCCGCAATCTTCAGTCACGCCCACTTCACAGCGGTGGTATCCCGCCCGTTTTGGCCTCGCGTAATCGCGCATTCACGCCGACTTGCAATACTATTGTAAGGTTAGCGTCTCTTGGGGTACCCATAAGAGGCGGATGCCGCGAGAGCAGTCATGGCTCTCGCTCAAGAAGTCCCTCAGGATTGCAAGTATCTTCTTCCTCAATCTCTTGCTCAGCTTCAGCCCCGCCTAGTCTACGTCCCGGAACCTACCTCAGCGGATCAATTTCGCGACTTCCCTGACTATACTGGAATGCCGGATTCAATGATGGTAAGTGACGCCTATGCTGTTGCGGCACCGAAACTGACAACTGTGAAGGCAAGTCACTATGTGCAGACCCAGCCGTATGCACTGCAGAGGGTCGAGCAGGAGGACACCAAGTCGACAGGCGCAGCACCTGCCACGCCGAGCTCCAACAACCTCGCGTACTCATCTGGCCAGCACTGGAGCGGAGTCCCTACACCCCCGTTCGACTGGCACCATGCTATCCAACAGACGCAACCTTACGTCGTACCAATTTCGGACCCGCAATTCCGCCGGAATCAGGTCCTGACATACAACCCTACGCCCATCACACAGAACAGTATCACGAAGAGCTTTAGCGACCCAATACCCTGGCCGTCCTCGGAACTCCATGGGCTGCCTCGTGGGATGACCGCCAACAGCTCTGTCCTGGACAAGAGCATATCACTGTCGCCAAAGAGTTACCGCAGCGATGAATTCGAGAATACATACAGTCCAGGGTCGATGCTAGACCAATCTTCGCCATGCGGAAATTGGAGCGTACCTTCAGCGACTACCACCAACGCCGCCATCCTTCCACCTCCCTGCAGGTCTTTCCTTGTACACGACGCAGATGCCGACACTGGATACTCAGGACTCCCGAGGATGGACGAGGACACGGCCAAGGTCACAGCGCCATCCGGCTATCCTAGCCGAAGGGACCAAAGACCGATTGCCTCTTTCGGGGAGGAATACAACTCTGGATCAGATTATTCGCGATCTCAGACTAGTAGCGCTGGCCATTCTCCGTGGTACGGCGAGAACTTCGCGTATAACACCTCCAATCTAGCGTTCAGGACCCGCGACGTTGTGCGCTCCAGTCATCCAACCAGTAGTACGAGCATATCGTCGACAGACGAAGCTCACACATCGCAGTATCCTGCGACGCCCTGGAATACTTCATGCCCTGATGGCGGTCTCCACAGCCGTATTCAGGATAGGTTCCAGGTACCACGCAGTGCTGGTGCCCAAGCCCAGCGAGAGCACAACGATCAGCTGCTGATCGATGGAAAGAAGAGAGGAGAGACGTACAAGGAGATCAAGTCGAAGATGGTCGGTGAGAAGCCTGCAGAGTCTACTCTGAGGGGCCGCTACCGATCCTTGACCAAGGCGAGAAAGGATCGCGTCCGGAAGCCCGTCTGGACAATGATCGATGTAAGCTGACCGTTGGGACTTTACTTCCGTCATAGTAGACTGACACATCGACAGCTACAGCTCCTGAATGAGACCGTTCAGCAAGAGTTTGATCGCATCGAGAGCAACCTCCAGAGCCCGTACTCGCTAAGCTTTGAGCAAAAGATCCTCAAAGTCGCTTGGAAGAAAGTCGCAGAGTTTATCGCCGACAACGGCGGATCGTATCATTTCGGCAACGCGACGTGCAAGAGGAAATGGTTGGAGCGCAACCACAGTCGCAAGTGATCGGACATAAACATGGGCATGTCGAGCGACGGCATCGACACACCCTCATCCTCCAGTAAACTTGACTGGTGTCAAGTACTGGTCATTTTGAAGGTACAAACTGCGACCGCTGGAACGTTCCCCGACTGCACAGCGTTACTGCTGTTGTTGAGGCACCGAGGGATGCTGTAGGGGCACCTGTCTTCTGCAAATGCGCAGAAGATTGTCGCATGGCAGCATCTTTGTTTCTGTTACTTCCGGAGTCGTACTCCCTGTCTGTACTATCTTGTTCTATTGTTATGTTGATGGTAATGTTGGCGAATATGTTCGTCTTAGCAGCATCTTGGGGGCGTAAGAAGCCTCCATGGCCTAGATGGGGAAGCTGCAAAGCATGGCGGTGGCGTGACGTCGTTTCGGGAGGTCTTTTGAGCGGGTTCTTGACGATATAATATCCCTTGAATTGAATGTGCCACGTCAACGCAGATCTTGTGTGACGAACGTGATGACGATGGTGAAGGAGTTGTCCTGAAGTGTGAAAGCAATTCTAGACTTTGGCGCTAGCTCGCGGTGGAAGCTCGAACGGTTGAACTGCCCACCCACCCCACCTGTCATCGATACGCGACAACGAATGAAGATGATTCTCGGGCTATCTGAAGCTCTTCCGAGCATCACGAAGCGCAAGTTTGAGGCTGCAAAGGCATCGTCGGATCTGCTGTTCTCGCCTACGGAGCTAGCCATCATCCGCTCATCTGCAGGCATTCCCGTGAGTATGCCGGCCCTGCCACCACCACCAGGCTCACACGCCAGCAGTTCCAATTACGATACTGCCCGTCGCTCGCCAAGAAACCCATTCCGAAGCTCCAGAATGCGACGCCCAAACAGAAGATCGACCCGTTCGAGAACCCCCCACCTGCCCTCCACCTGGCCGACATACCAGCCGCCAACCCAACCCACTTCCTCGTCCTCAACAAGTACCCCATAATATCCGAGCACTTCATCCTGGCGACAAAACCCAACAAGAAGCAAACACACGTGCTCGAACAGGACGATCTGGAGGCGACCTACGCCGTCTTGAAGGCATGGCAGGCAGACTCGGGCGGCGACGAGAAGCGTCTCCTCGCCTTCTTCAACTCCGGCGACCACAGCGGCGCCTCTCAGCCCCACCGACACTTGCAGTTCCTACCTGTAGAAGGAATGCGCGATAGCAACAATGCTAGCGACTGGGGCCTGCTCATAGATCTGATCTTGACGAGCCCGGCAGCCAAGGCAACTGGTAGGCGTCTGATAACTCTGCGCTTTGCCGTAGCTAACATGCATCCAAGAACAACATCCCGCATTTCTGCAACACCCTTCTCTGCCGTTTACGCACTTTGCCTACCCATTCGACTCTGAGCCATCAGGTACTCAGTTACTCGATATCTACAATCGTCTGTACGACGCCGCGAAAGCCGCAGTCGACGCCTTCATTTCCGCAAATCCGAACGACTTCGCTCTGCACCCCACCGACGACGGCGATCTACCCATGAGCTATAACCTTGCCATGACGACTGCAGGCATGGTCATTCTGCCTAGACGCGCCGAGGGCACGATGCTTCACCGCGATGACGGCAGTGAGATCGGCTTCGTCGCTCTGAACGGTACAACGTTAGGAGGCACGATGATGGTCAAGCATCAAGACGAGTGGAACATGCTACGCCACGAGCCAGGACTGCTGGACCGCATCCTGGGTGCGATTGGCATTCCGAAGCCTCCTTCATTCAAAGTGGGCTCATCCAACATATGACCGGACCTAGGTAGGACCCACGTGGAACATCGCTAGCCAAGCTGGTCGAGTACGATTGCGAACGAGCGAGTCCTTGCATCTTTGTCAAAAGCCACACCAGAAAGATCACAAGCAAATGTATATGTGGACGAGTGATATCATGGTCACTTTACGAGACGCGAATGTCTAAGACGTGACGCGCACGCGACAACGAGCATGTGCCGCATCCGCAACTCACGAGTAATGATAAACACCTAACGCAGCCAAACATGAAGAAGTCTTGAGAGCTTGGGCACGATCGTGCAACGTCTAGAAAACGCCGAAAATCGAGGATATCGGTATGTATAAGGTTGTTCCGATGACCTAAGTTTGTATTTTGTAGAAAGCTCGGGTAAGTCATCTGGTGTTGAACGGCACGTGAACTGGCGCGGTCATGAGACCACTCATCACCAAAACAAAAAAGGTACTCATGATGCATCAAATGCGAACACAAACTTCAGCTGAGCAAACTGCGGCGAGGTGATACATTGTCAGAGTGACTGTCCGGCTGGTGAGTTCTTGTAGCGCAAGGTTTGAATATGCATCCCACCGTCACCTTTCACACTCCGCATTCATTGTATATTCCATAGCCTAGCATCATGAAAGAAGAAGCAGAAAAAGCCGTAGAGACAGTACGTTACATGATAGTCATCGCATGCATAGACAAGGTGCTGATCGAACTTGCCTAGGCCACAGGGTTACTCCAAGACTTTGTAGTCGTGGTTTCCCTCGTGCGGACCTTGACGGAATCTTTCGGTTCTGCCAGTGATCTATACCGCAAGCTCAAGCGTAGATCTGGTAAGAAAGACAGCGACGACGAGGAAGATGAGTATCATATTCAGGGGCCATGGCATAGGCGTCGTCGCGACTCCATGTTTGGCTCAGAGAAGAGGAAAGGCGACTATAGTGACAGCGAAGAAGAGCTCATATGCACCTCTTCTTCCCAGATCCGAGCCGAGTACGAACGTGGGTATCGGAAGTTAGGCGAGCCGTTTGCGCGTGGCGACGGTATGTTCTCATTCAAGTTCACACCACCAGGTACTGATGTCAAACAGTTACAACGCATACCCAGCTGCAGTCTCAGATCATAAAGCTTCAGCAGACGGTCATCAACATCCAACAGGATCTGCTGCTAAGCACATACATGGCGCCATCGTCTTCGCACTCGCACCTTATACGTCTGATTCAGACGGCTCGTGCAGCGCGTGCAGCTTCCATCGCTTCGTTGAACATGCAGTACGAACGCATGCTGCCACCACTCCCCTCACCGCTATTACCTCGACAACCCGACGCACCTTTAAGAGTCCCTGGCGCATTCCCACTACCCGACCATCCGCGACCACCATCAAGACCACTGCGGCACAAGAAGCGCATGGACAGCAGCTCCAGCTCCTCATGCGAGTCAAAAGAGGTCTTGATCAAACCGATACCAATCGTGAAGCCCAAACCAAAGCCCACACCTATACCTCCACCCCCTCCCCCACCTCAGCCTCAGCCTCAGCCTCAGCCTCAGCCCCCATCTTCACGATACAGCACTCGGCTCTTCTGCATCTACGCCAAAGACCTCCAACACAACCCCCGTCTCCACCTCGCCGACGCCTACCGACCCACCGGCGACCACAAGTGTCCTTTCTGCCGCACACATGTCCCCATCCAACCCGGAAAAGCCTGGGAGCTCGTCGTCGATGGCTACAAGAAGAAAGACGAATACGGGTACTGTAAGACGGTACCGCGAACGTTTCGCATCAAGAACCGCTTTATTGTCAAGAGCCATAGAGAAGGTGGGGGCTTTGCATGTGTGCTTTGCGCGAGGTTCAGGAAGTCGGATACTGTGTGTAGGGGTATCGAGGCGTTGATGGATCATCTTTGGAGGGAGCATGCGAGTGAGGAGTTGGAGAGGGATGCGGATATCGTGGAGGTGTAGAGGGGTGTTTGATGTTTTGTTCGGTGCTCTAATGATTGGCGTTGGTGATACCCTTTTCGTAATTTGCTGCGACGTTGAACTTTCACATAATACTTTTGCAATATAATCATGGATCCTATATGAACGGTTCGACCGAACTCGAAAGTCCAATCAATACGCGTAGAAAACGTTGACGCCATCCCTCTTCAGCCGCCGGTTCGTCACCTGGAGCCACGCCCTCAGCGCCCAGGCCGATGCAATACATGCCCCGGCAAACGCCGCATTACTACTCATAGCAATCACGTACTTGGGTCCGTCGCTCGCGGGATACAGGTAAGGCGTGTAGATAAAGCTAGCCATGGAAACCACATTGACAATGGACAGTGACACGGCCTTTTTCTCCGTGGTCTGGCCGAGCGTCCCTGACACCCAGCCTAAAATCACTGAGTTGACCGAATAAACGCCTAGATAATGATCTGTCAGTAGGTTTCCCACAGTAGAAGTGTCGAGAAGGACGAGGATGATGGAGGGGACAACGCACCGGAAGCGAAGAGGAAGCAAGAGATGTAGCGCGCGGCGGTGTTGAGCGTGATAGCACTGATAGCAAATCCAACCACTGCGATTCCCATCATAACAGTAATGTGCCATGTTCTATCGTTGAACTTGCCAGACGAGATGCCGATGCATATGCCGACCACGCCGGCGACGAGCGACGGCGGAGCAGTCAAGACCAACGTGATGGTTGTACTGAAACCCAGAGACCTGACTACAGTAGGGAAGAACTGTGTTTCGTTAGTAGCTGTAGCATGAGAGTTATGAAGAAGAAATAGCTTCATGCCACATACCTGATTGAAAGACGTAGCGCTCAAATGCATATTCTGCATAAAGACCAGAAGATAAAGTCTTGGGTCGCGCAGAGCTTGCATGAAACCCGCTTTGACTCCTTTGCTTGGCTCAAGTCCAACGGTGTCCCTCTGGATGCGATCGTGCGCCAGTTGACGTTGTTCAGGTGTAAGCCACTTCGTTGTGAGCGGCTCATCCGGTAGTAAGAATACACAGACGATCGACACGCCGACTGTGACGATGCCTTCGATGATGAAAAGCCACTGCCATCCATGCATTCCATGCTTGTCGTCCAGCGTCGCAAAAGTAGCCGCGGCAATGAGTCCGGCGAAAGAGACGGCGAAGATGTTTCCGGCATACAGGATAGATACTCTTGTAGCGATTTCCTTGCGCGTGTAGAACATGCTTAGGATGTATAGAGCGCCTGGGTAGAACGGGGCTTCGACGAATCCGAGGAAGAAACGTACGAGTACTAGTCCAGTGTAGTTTTTGACCAGAGCTGTGAGAGCTGCTACACAGCCCCAGACGGAGCAGCACAGAGCCATGTAGAGCGAAGGCCGCACTTTCTTGGACGACATGAGCATGTTACTGGGTATCTGCGCAAAGAGATAGCCAACGTAAAGAATGGATATGCAGGTGTTGTATTGGTTTCCGACAAGACCGAGGTCGTCTTCGAGATCATTGAGGCGCGCGTTCGCTATCGCATTCTGGTCGAGCTTATTCCTGGTAGCGCAAGTGTTAGCAATGTGAAGTTCGAGGGCTTATAGTGACGTACAGAAAGTACATGCAAAAGAGCGCTGGCATCACTCGCATGTCCAGCTTGCGTACCAGGGCGATCTCTGCTGGGTCTGTCTTGGCAATCGCACCAGTGTAGTCGGCGCCATCGAGCGCAGCTTGCGCCTTGAGGTCTTTTTCGGATGTTGCGACATCGTCGATTTGCAGGGGTACATTCTTCTCGGTATCTTCGTAACGGTCGGTGTTTGCGTTGGCCATGTTTGGCAATCTTCAGAAGCGCGGGATTGATGACTCGGTCATGTGCAGGATTCTAAAGTATCCTGGAGAACAGCACAAAAGGTCAATCCTCCCAAGAGAAGCGCCTTCTATATACCCCAGCTGGACGAACGTTCCCCAGAAAGTCCATGAGCAAGCTTGACCCCGGACTTTCCCCAGACCCCAACTTCTTCGTTGCGGCGCGGAGAAAACATGGGGAACATGACAATGTCCAGAGCATCCCGCGGCGTCCGCTACGAGTCAAGTTAAGGACTAGGTAATTGGCCATGAGAATCGTCGGCTGGTCCTGGGTGGAGAGCGGCTTGCGGCTGGACGACGCTAGCGCGGACAAAGACATATCCGGTACGCCTGAGCGGCACATCGGCTCATGCCAGTGGCACTACGTCGGAACATTGCAAGTCCCCGTTACTCGCATGACTCCATCGAGGCTCCAAAGAGCAAACCGGAGCGATTCATCATGGCGTTTTGGCGGACACTCTCAAGTCCGCCTGCCAAACATGCGCTCGAGACCTGGCACGAAGTCGTGTGCTGCAGTGAGATCGTCCAACGTTTGCCGCTCGGCATTTCCATGTAATGGATGGGCGAAGTACATATAACGCAAGCTTTCGATCCAAGATTCAGCATCATCCAACGCAAATCAAACTCGTCCACTCTCCTACAATCAACTCTTACTCCCTATCCAAACCCCACTACTTCTCTCACCACAATGGGTTCCATGCCTGAGGTCAAGCAAGCTCCTCAGATCGACCTCGCGGGTCTCGTCCCTGCGCCGGTCACTCCATTCAACAAGGATGGCTCGGTCGACTACGCAGCCATCCAGCGCCTTGGCTCCTGGCTCGGCAGTATCCCAGGCGTGAAGGGTCTGGTCGTGCTGGGACACGCTGGCGAGGGCACTTTCCTCACCCAGGAAGAGCAGATAGAAGTCATCAAGGCCTTTGTCAAATCTGTGGACAACAGGATCCCCATCATTGCTGGTATCACCACAGAGGGCACTGAGGTGGCTGCGCTCGAAGCTCAACGCGCCAAGGCTGCTGGTGCGCAGGCGGGTCTCCTGTACCCCAGCCATGGCTGGCTACGCTTCGGATATCAGCCGGGAGCGCCACAGGACAGATACAAGACGGTGTATGAGAAGTCCGGACTTCCCCTCATCCTGTTCCAATACCCCGACAACACCAAGGCGACCTACGACCTGGACACGCTACTCGAGATTGCCGCACAGCCCGGTGTCATCGCTATGAAGAACGGCGTCCGCAACATGCGCCGTTGGGACGTCGAGATTCCCATTATCAAGAAGCAAAACCCCGACCTTACTATCCTCACATGTCATGATGAGTACTTGCTACACACATGCTTCGACGTCGACGGCATGCTTGTTGGGTACGGCAACATCGCGCCCGAACCGCTGCTTGAGATGATTGAAGCCGGCAAGGCGAGAGACTACCCTCGTGCGAGAGCTGTTCATGACAGATTGCTCCCAGTCACCAGGAACGTTTACCATCGCGGCTCGCACATGGAGGGAACTGTTGCACTCAAACATGGTCTGGTGGCGAGGGGTATCTTGGAGCACGCGACAGTGCGAAGTGGACTTTTGCCATTACAAGACGGCGCAGAGCAGGAGATTCATGCTGCATTCAAGTCAGCCTCGCTAGGCAAGGTCACACCGCCAAAATCGGGTTGATTGTATGTAATTGGTATTATTAGTATTCCTCTTGACGCTCAATGAAAGCTTTGTTCATGATAAAGTGGATTTTCTGTCATCGTAGGGTCGTTCCCGAACCAGTAATTGATGTCTTCGCCGTTGAAGAGATGCATGATTTCCTCGTTGGGTAAGGGATTGTCTGAATATTGCTGTGCAATACCAAGAAAGTTCCCTGCTCCCGCAAGATAGTCGAAGGTTAGGCTGTTGGCATTTTGCATATCGGCAGATTGTGCGTTGGCGTTAGATAAGGTTGACTCTGCCGCTTGGGTTGTGAAGCTTGCGGAATATGGTACTGCATGAGGCTGATCGGTAAGTCTCTGGAGCTGTCCTGTTGGCGTCACTGTGCCTGTCGCTGGATTGGGTCTTGAGGCCGCGTAATTTCCCGAACGATTTGCTATTACTTGTCTCTGAGTTTGCCAATTATCCATGCCAATGGAAGGGTCGCGAGTAGCATGAGTTGCCGGCCGCGAGCTGTCCCTAGACGTGTTCGTAAGGTCGCGGCTACATGGCTTATCGAGTCGTGTGACAAGGTTTTGAATAGCGACCATGCATGCGTCTGGCCAACTCGTACCCCTCAACGCCAGGTGCTTGAGAATCTGAATGCTTCGGTCTGAGAGCCTGAATGCGATGTCGCGCGTAACCTGTCCGTCCGCAGCAGCAGACAGGATAATAAACGTACTCATCCATACTGCCCAGGTAAATGATGGCCAAAGCAGAGGAGTTCTTTCGTATCCATGTTGACCGGGTGAGCCATCGAACGCCCCGAAACCCCGGAGGGCTTTGTGTAGTGTGTTTATTATGGATCGAGAGGCTGATATGCAGCGTTGCAGCGCAGCGTTGTATGCAGCGTTTTTCTTAGACGTTGCTAACACAGAACGATGGAGAGCAAGCACTGACTCGAAGCGAAGGACGATTAGTGTGACTTGATGTGCTTTGGATATGGTTTGCGTCTGCTCGTCATTAGACAAGTGTTCATCGACCATATTCCACCACTTAGTATGCTCTGCCTCCACTTCCAGGGCTTGATTGACATCATCGGCGCTACCATGCAGCATAGATTGGTGTCGCGTTTGCATGATGGATCCACGGATGTCGGCATGGCGAGCTAGAAAGTCCAATAAATCTAGTCGGTCATCACGGGTGCGATCTTGAGGTGAGTTAGCCGAGAACCCCTGAAACCCAATCTGCTACAAACATACCAGCTTCCTCAGGCTCCCGTAGGTGTCGCTCTGTGTGTGGGTAGCAGACATTTGCCTCGTCTGGCCTAATGCCGAGCGGCGTACCAAGCCGGATGCATATATATCTATCGATGCATATTACAGACCAGAAAAGCCGCTTTCTAAGCTCTGCTTCTTTGCTTGGAACTGATAACTGTAACGGACAGCGATGCAGACTCAACTGGAAGGCCATTCGAACGGCCAAACCTTCCAGACGCGACGCCGCGTTGTACCTGTGCATCGTGATTAAG